ACCACTTCTGACTCGCATGTTTTGCACAGTGGGAATCGCCTTTCCACTCAAAGCCCCTCAGCTTCTGGATGCCCTCCCTTGAATCAATCCTATAGTCCTATAGGGCTGCTTGACAACAAGCGAGCACCGGTGTTTAATGCCTACGGCCGTTTAAGCACTGACATCTCACTCAGTCCCTGTGGGACACCGAGAGGGCTGTTGTGGTGGGGGGTGGGGTGTTGGAACTACGGCCAGTTGTTTGTTGCTTCGTGGTTGTTTCGTGACGCCGTTGCCACCTTGTCGTCGGGTCTCACGTATCACGTTTCTTAAGTTTTTGGAGCGGTCGTTTTCCGTACCTTTCTGTTTGATTTTATGGGCATTGCTTCGTGCTTCCTTCCATTTCCTTCACACGTGCGTGGTTCTAACCTGATTTTAGTTTGTCCCGGTCCTTGACAACTGCAATGCAATAGAGAATGGGCACACATCCTGCCACCCAGCTTTGACGACACGTCCCCTCAGACTCTTGGCAATCTGCCGCTGGCCTGTGAATCGTTGCAGAGGTGCGCCGCAGATGTGGCTTTTCCCCTCACGGGTTTTGTTTAGGGTTTTTTTCAGTGCGAAGCGGCTTTGGGTCTCGGAGTGCAGAGGAGCCCTAAACCCATCCCGACCAAGCCAAACTCCAAGCCTGACATCAAAAGTAAATCTGTTGCATCATCATTGCCTGCGGATTTGGCTCACTTGGCCCCTTCGAAGTTTGGCCCGTCCAAGCCGGATTCGTAGTTCACGTTGGTCCAGTCGGGCAAGCTGTTCAATGGCGCCCCAGCGCGGGGTCCGCCCGACTCGCAAAGATGAGGACAACCTGAACCCAAAGCTGGAGGGGCCTGACATGCCAGGACGCGGCCTCAGTTGCTCAGGGGACTGCAGCATTGCAGTCAAAGTAAGGGTTGGAAGGCAGGGACTTCGACACACCACACTCTCCAGACAAACGGCAAGCGTGGCCGCGAGATTGAAATGATTTCGCTACTTTGCTGTTTGCTAACATGTTTGAGCATGTTCGGGTCCCTTGCTTCGAGGTGGGTTGCTAAGCTCCGTGCAGTTTGCCTGCCAAGCGCAGCGGCGTAGAGTTGCGTGCAGCCGCCTCGGCCACTGAAGGGGCGCGAGAGGCGTCTAGCCCGTCGTATCTCCCTTTTTAAGCACTCGATCCGCCAGCAGAATACAGAGCCCCATTGCCTCTAGCAGGGGCAAAAGGGGCTCCTTGAGTCGAGGGCTTCCACCCATGGGACGGCAGCTTCCCCAGGCGTGCGGTGAGGGGAAGGGTAGGGAAGGTGGCTCTGCTTCTTGCAGACAACGGTCAGACGGTCGGGGAGGTTGAGACGAATCAAGCGCACGAATGACAACCTGCAAGGCCAATTAGACCAGGAGCTGGCGGAGCGAAGGAGGGAAGAGAGAGCCGCGAGACGCCGAGCACTTCAACGCTTCTGCAACGTCGGCTGCCGCCCCTGTGCCTTCATCGCCAGCAAGAACGGCTGCCAGAAGTCGTCCTGCGAGTTCTGCCATGCCCAAGTGCACAGAATCAGGCGCAGGCAAGGCGCGTAGCCATGAGGCGCTCCCGAACGGCATCTGGCCAAGCTGAGGGAGAATCGGGAGAAGATGAATCGAGGGGCTGAGGGTTGCGCGCTGGGGTACCTTCCCCATGCTTCCGTCTCGCCAATGTGCGATTCGCGAAGGCATCGGCTCCATAGAACACTATGCTGCAATCTGCTACTATGGTTCGCCGCAAGGCTGCAATGGTATACCATCGCTGTACTTGACTAGAGTCACTGGAGTTGATGCAGGTCCCAGTTTTGACATACAAAAAATCCAGGTGGGTCGGCGTTATGCCCTCACCCTCTGGCAGTTTATCCGGGCCGAGATGCCGATCGTTCCAGTTCACGATAGCCTGTAAGCAGGTGAAGCCTCCAGCGCTTCTCAATACGTTGCTACACAAGGAACTGAATGGCCTTGGCAGGCACTTGTAATGTTTCGCATTGTCAGCTCGCATTGTCAGCTCTTCCGTGATTGGCCGTGAAAAGAACAGTTCCAGTTCACCGCCAAGGACATTGTCATTGTGCATTCCTGGGACTGCTGGCCTTTTTCTAAAACTTGGGATTTCTCATCAGTCATCTTTGGTCCAGGAATTTTCCTCCTGCATCTCCACATCTGGAATCCTGACACCACTTCACATATTCTACATGTTATAGCATATACTTTTGTATAATATTCGCATGGAAGCTTTCGCCTTGCAGGATAGCTCCGCCCACTGAGACGAGCTCAACTCGAATGCGAGGATTTCTTCTCCTTTAGGCTTCGCGCGCTGAGCTGGAAAAGTGCTTGGCCGTGGAAAATCCGTTGTCTTGATCGAGCGAGCACTTTCCTTGGCCAGCTTTCGTTTTCTAGTGGGCAGAACGGTTGGGCAAGCGAGCTTTGTCCAGTCTTCTTTCTGCGTATTTTGTGCCTGCAGCTCCAGCTAGCGCAGTCGTGGGTCGTAGAAGAGCTTCCGCTCCTATCAGCAGCATGGCGCAAGAGTTGGGCTGCTTGACGCCTCGGGATGATCTGGATTCTCTGCACCTGAAGTTCTCGGGGCCAGACTCACTCCAGTTGCGCGCTCAGGGACGTGGCCTCAGTTGCTCTTGATACGCAGTCAGAGGCAGGGTTTTGGCGGCATGGACTGCGAGACAAGTTCGTAGCCCGGGGCTGTTACTGTTACAAGATGGAAGTCTAGTTCTTTTCTGCACCTTTGGGCTACAGCGCCCGAAAGGAGCCCTTGCCATCTGCATTGCTGCAAGGTCAGAAGCAGATCCTGTCCCTGCTGCACGAGGTGATCCAGCAGAAGAAGATGGCCTCGCAAGAGCCTTGCGCAACTTCACTGTGCAAGCCATGTGCCTTCTTGGCCCGAAAAGGTGGCTGCGCTCGAGAATCTTGCGACTTCTGCCATGCTGAAGCTCACGTCGAGCAGCGACGGACGGCGAGGCAGAAGGCACGCTGGCAACGTTCTTCTTGGCACCTCGCCGATCTGAAAGAGAAGAAGCAGCACAAGAATGCGAACTGAAACTGGCGCGCTGGATGAGCTATCATGTTTCCATCGTGTTTCCTTCATGTGTTTCCTTCAAGCGGAGTCTTGAGCAATCAAATTCGGAGCCTTCCCGCTGGCGCCCCGCGGGTGACCCCTGGAGGGCTGGCACACGACACTTGTTTCGCAAAGTTGGGGGACCCTTTAGGTGCCCCAGTGCCCCAGCATGGCTCCAATTTTGCTACAAGCTTACGGCGTTTCGATGGATTTCAAAGACAATCCGGAGCTCGAAGCACTCGAACATGAGTTGCACGAGAAAAAGCTGCATGACTGGTGCACTGCATTCCACACAGCCTCGTTGGGCTTTCGCGCAACGCTCAAATGCAATGAGCTGCAGCAGCAATCAATGTCTTGAATGTCAAGAAACACCTTTTTGGCGACTTTTGGCGACTGAACCAAGCGCCGTTCGGGAGCCTCAAATAGTCGTTTTCGATTCATCGGATGTGTCAAAAGTGAGTGCAAAAGGGGTTGGTAATCTCTTACATATTCTCTATTGGTATCTGAGAGTGAATTACAACAAGCAAAATACAGTTCTTTTCACAGGCTTGTTTAGCTGACGAATGAAGAGCGGCGAAGTGAACAAAGCGAATTCCTGTCCGCGAGTGAGCGAACTGAATAGAATTATGAGTGAGTCTGCGAGCGAAAGAATATTCTGTGTACGTGAGCACCCGTAAAAGAATATTGCATCACGGGGCGCAAAATGAGAGTTCTTAAATCGCCCGCAGAATACTACTCTCAAAAGCATGGACGAGGTGAATCAATGCACGCAAGAGGTAACATTCGTGGTTCAGACAAAAGATTCGGAGGGACGCACGCGCTGTGACAAAATGAGGGCCATGCAGTGCTCCCTACTTCAGGGAGCCTGCTGGAAGATTTGAGGGACAGCGGAACGAGCCCTTTCCACCGTCTGGACTTCGCATGGTGTAGTCACGTTAGTCACGAGAGTCTTTTGCAGCCTCGGGCCGCGGAGCGGAGTCTGCTTGGATTGCTTCTCGGAGAGTTTCCGCATCTAGATCTGAGTCGTTTCCAGGACTGGTTGCTAGCAACAGCAGCGTTTCGCTGTTGCAGAGATGCAGCCCTGCTTAGATTCATCTCGATACTCAGCAGAATGATTTAGGTTCCTGAAGACACACACACACACACACACACACACACACACACACACACACACACACACACACAACACACACACACACACACACACACACACACCACACACACACACACACACACACACCCCCGCGCCCCGCACGCGCCCACGCACCGCGCACCACACGACGCCGCGCGCGCAGCGCGGCGCACGCGCACGCGCACGCGCACGCACACCACACACGCACGCGCACACACACCACCACACACACACACAGACACAGACACAGACCACAGACACACACACGACACAGACACAGACACAGACAAGACACAGACACAGACGCACAGACACGCACAGACACGCACAGACCACGCACAGCACGCACGCACGCACGCACGCACGCACACGCACCACGCAGCACGCCGCACACCGCGCGCACACGCGCAGCACGCGCACACTCACACACGCGAACGCACGCGCACGACGCGCGCACACAGCGCGCAGCGCGCCCACGGCGCACGCGCGCGCACACACGCGCGCACACGCGCACACGCGCGCACACGCGCGCACACACGCGCACGCACGCGCACGTGCGCACACGCGCGCACACGCGCGCACACGCGCACACACGCGCACACACGCGCACACACGCGCACACGCGCACACGCGCACACGCGCACACACGCGCACACGCGCACACACGCACACACACTCGCAAACACACACGTACATAGCAAAACTAGCAGCCGCTCCATCCCCGTGTTTCTGCCCAGGCAGTTCCGCAGGGTCCTAGCTCCCAGCAGTCCCTGTCGTCCTGCCATGCTCAATGCTCACATCATCTTCTTCCTGGTGATACTCCCGTGCGCTCATGCTCTGGAGAAGTCTGGTTCATGCCAAAGTCGAGCGTTGCTTCAGGTGAATGCTTCACATGCTTCACGCGCTGTTTCAGGCGCTGTTTCGGATTGCCCTAGCTGGTGCACGTCTGGGACCGCTCCGATGTCCGAGTACTGCAACTGGGAGCAGTGCAGGGTCTGCCCAGGCTGCATTTGTTCCGATGAGTGCTCTGAGGAAATTGCCGAATGCAAGAAAGACACCTGTTCCACCTGCCCACAGTGCGGCTGCGCAGAGTGGTGCTACGGGATGTGGGGGCCGTGGTGCGATGCAATCGAATGCAAAGGTTGCACGGAATGCCTGCCCACTTCCACGACAACTTCCAGGCCCTGTGCTGCCAGCAGCGATTTGGTGGTGGCCCTGAATCGAGGAGTGGTACGCTGCCGTGAGGACGGGTCCAACTGCACTCAAGTCGTCGGCTTCGTGGGCACACCTGGGGCCCGTAGGATTGACGCTGGGGCTGTGGCAGTATTCAGGAATGGCGATTATCTTCTGACGACGGACAACAAGGTGAAACGGTGTCCGGGGGATGGTTCGGGCACCTGCGTAACAGTTGCAGGCCAAGGCGCGGGAGTTTCCAAAAGGTGCTGAGTTCGACTGGGGGTTGGGCTGGTTTACTTGTCATGTTGCCTCTGCAAAGATTACAAAGGGATCTTAGTCTTACGAGGACACGATGCAACATGGATGCAACCCCTGCAGGAGGGAAAGGAAATGGGAGCGACCAGCTTGATGATCCTCGGGGAGTTGCGGAAGAGAGCAGCGGCGACTTCATCGTCGCTGACAGAGGAAACGGAAGAGTGCAGCGGTGCCCAGCTGATGGCTCTGGGAAGTGTTCAACAGTTGCTGGTGGGAATGGAGAGGGGCACAAGCTAAATCAAATGCAGCCTGGTGGCATAGCGATTGCGGAAGATTCCTACCTGATCTCGGACTTGGGCTCTATGCGTATACTGCAATGCTTCCGAGCAAAGGGTTCAGATCTCCATGACAGATGCGTCGCACTTGTTGCCGGGCTTTGCTCTCCGGTTGCCTTTGCGACGGCCCCCAACGGCGAATACTTGATCCTGGAGAGTGACATAAGCCGTTTGGTTCAGTGTCCCTCCGGCTCCGGTCCCTGTGCCCGGGTAGCTGACACTTTCAAGAATCCCCGAGATCTTGCCGTGGCAGCCAATGGAGAGGTCATCATCGCCGATTACGGTCACTCGCGACTCCGGCGCTGCAAAGGCACAGGCTCCCAATGCAGGGACGTGCACTTGGAGAACATCAACTCCCTGGCATGGCCTTCATCCATCACCTTGGTTCCCACACGTCTGGATCCTTCTTGTAAGCAACCAAGCCCTTAAGAGGCGCACCACCCAGCACATCCCAAGCATCAAAAAGGGCGGGTTGAATTTGATAAGCTCCTCCTGGCGTGGAAGGGGCCAGCTAGGGATGCGATTGCACATGTGTCCTTGCAGCAGAACGCGTGGAGCTCCCACTGGCGCTGCTGTGCACAAGCGGCAGGGATTTGCTAGCCCGTTAACCGTTAACGCAAAAACTGCAGTGCTTTGGCTCCAGAAGAAAGCTGCACACTTTTATTCCCCTTCTAGCCGCCACCTCTCCAAAGCGCTGCGAAGCGCTGTTGAGTGAGGATGAAGCCTGAGGCTGAGGTTTTTCGGTGCGGTTAAAGGTTAAGGGTATAGGACTGTACAGGGCTGAGTTTTCAGGTCGGGGGCATTGGGCACAGGCCTCGTGCTGGTGTACTTTCCCCATCAACGCAAACTTTGCTCCCAGGTTCGTGCCTCTGGATGGGGGCGTTGACCGTGCCTGCCGCGGAACGAAGCCTGGCGACAACAGTGCCAGTCGTAATGCCGCTTTGGTCAAGCTGCTAGAAGGTCTTCTCGCGCTGATTTGGGGGGCTCCTGAACCCACTTCAGGTGGGCTCCGTGCCATCACTCGAGGCTTGCAAAGAGTGCATCCAGAGGCCTGCTCCCGCTTGTGCTGTGATTAGCCCATGCCCAAGCAGCTTGCACGTCAGCTAGACAGGGCTCAGAAGGTGGCCTGTTGCCTGCCATGATTGCCATGTTCCGTTTCTGGCCATTATTCCTTCCGGCTGCTGTGATTGCCTACAACAGTAGCCAGCCAGACTCCGAGCAGTGTGAGCAGGCACCAGATACCGATGTGGGCTCTCTTTTGCAACCGACCCTGGCACACAGGGAGTCGAGCAACCGCACAGGCACTGAGGTTGACGGTACTAACATCGTCACAACTGCAGCGGCGCTGAAACTAGTTGCTACAATCATGGGCGCCCAAACATTGCTGAGCAACCTCGCGACGCACAAGTTTTCCTGGGAAAAGGTCACCAAGGATGTTAACGTTGAGGGTTGGGAACAGAGCAAACTTCCCTGGCGGCGGAATTTCGTCCGCTGGTTGCCAGGCAACGACGCCGAAGGTGTCGACTTTCAACGAGGTGTGGGCATCTTCACCGTCGGCGCACCAGGCGTGATGCGGCCAGCGCCTTGAAATTTGAAGTCGGAGGATGGCTGTTTTTCAGGCAGGAGGGCGACTCCAAGATGCTGAGTTGATCAGCGCGCTGCCTTCTTGGTATGACTGTTTTCTCACCAGGAATATACTCAGTTATGCGTACTAGAACGGCTATCGTTCTTCATGCATGGGACACTGTTATGAGTCCTACGACTTCTGGTTGCAAGTGCTGTCATGGCTATCACTGCTACTGTTAGTTTATCATTGGTTCTGTTGGCATTGTGATCGTGTTGGCTTTTGCGGCTGTTGTTTCTATCGTTTGGTACCGCTGTTGCTCCGTTTGATGCCTACTACGACTACTACTATTTCTTTTTCGTGTATTTCGTTGGTTGTCGTTCTATCGTTTTCATTGCTGCTGCAATTATCACGTGAGATTATAACTATGGGTTCTGACAGCGATTGCTGTTGATAGTAGTGTCACTACTATGTCTGACATAATAGCGGCTATTGTCATGACTGCTCATGTCGCTCATCAATATTTGTTAATTTGTTGGTAGTGCTGTCATCTTTTCTTTGACTAGCATCCACCGGGGCCTGGGGGAGTGGTTTATTCTTTAAACAGTTTTTTCTGAGCACTTGTAACGAACAAAAGCAACTTTTCAAGGATCAACGCTATTCCCTACAGAAAAACGGAACTTGAAAGGACGAAAGGAAGGCAGGAATATCAAAGCACCACATTAAGAATCAAAAATGCTTCCTATGGAAGGATGGAAGGGAGGGAGGAAGGGAGGGGGAAAGGGAGGGGGGAAGGGAGGGGGGAAGGGAGGGGGGAAGGGAGGGGGGAAGGGAGGGGGGAAGGGAGGCGGCCCAACCCGCCCCCGCCCCCCGCCGCAATTTTGGCAAATATACTTGCGCATACTTCCATGCCATTGTTTTGCAAATGTACCCCCCAGACGCCTCGCTTTTGCAAGCCTGGCAAACACGCATTCAAGATCTATTGTTGCAAACGCCCTCATGCATCTTTCCACCCCCGTCACATGTGCAGTGTTTTGCAAATGGGGGGAGGGGGCGGGGGGGGCGGCTGCGCAAACCCCTCGCTTTGTTAAACCATCCACACCCGTCATATGAGCATTGTTTTGCACATGGGCGTAGTAGGGGCATGTCTTTCCCCCTCCCTCCCCCGCCCCAAAGCCCCCCGGTTGGGAAATGCTCCGGGGCCTCGGTCTTGTCGGTGATCGTCTTCACTGTTCTCTTTCACGGACATGTTGCCCATCTTCTGCACGGTTCTTCTCCTTCACAATACGAGTTGTGGGGGTGCGGGGGGGGGGGGGGGGGGCGAGGTCCATCTGAGGTGAAGGCGATTTTTTTTAATTTCTCATTGTTGCTACCTCTGAATATCTTGAAGATTTCAATAGTGATTACCCCCTTTGCCATGACCATTCCAAAAATTCCCATGGTTACAACCGTTCTTGTTGTCATTGCGGTTGCTGTTACAAGTTTTGCAGTCTTTGTATTTTGATTATCTGTATTGTTACCATTATTGTTTCCGTTAACGCCGCCTTCGATACAGTACGATTCTTAATTAAGAACACTGTAATAGCAGCATTCTTGTTATTGGCTGTCATCTTTTTGCATCGTGATGAGTGTTGTTGTCATTCCCTGCATTTCCATTATTCTCCGGCGTTTGGATGAGTATTCGTAAGCTTATTGCTATTGTTGTCGGGTCAAATGTTCTTTCGGTTGCCAGCTCCTGCTACTCCTATCGCTCCTCAAACGGGTACCACTACGATTACTTTTGTGCCTTATATACTTTTATGGACTATTCGGTTTTCAGGCATTCGGCTTGCTGGAGAAGAAGCTATGTGGGGCTTGACGGGATATCGATGCCGAGATCCGGTTCCTGCCATTGCTTGGCTCGCATCGTATCTCAGTACCAAAAGTAAGGCTAGTTTAGGGTAGGGTCTACAATTCAGGGTAGGGTTTATGGGTCAGGGTTTGAGGAGGTTCTCGACCGGTTGTTTTTTTTTGCAAGGACGCAGCCAAAAAGATGCAAGTCTTGTTAGGGTTCCAAAAGCATTTGAGGTACGAACGCATTCCCATGGACATGATGCACCTGAACACAGAAGATGGCGAGCATGCACTCAGTGAGATCAAAAAAATTTGCAGCGCTGCCGACTGGCCGACCACCCGTCCGGCCTGGGCTGGGGTGGCTGGCATCACGTTGCATTCGCAAGACCATTACAAGCGTGGTCTTGGGAATCTCTCAAGTCATGGGTGAAGGACAATCAGAAGTGTGTGGGTGGCTTCAAGCGGCCGGGGGATTGTGTAACCCCTTGCTACGAAGGCATCAGAAAGTATTATTGCTACACCCCCGACCAGAATCGCCGAAGGGCTTGGAAGAGAACGCAAGGGTCATCGACATGCGCCAAATGCCACGAGCCTGTTCTGCTGTTAAGGCAGCTAATTTTCAGACGAGGAGTATACAGTATAGTCAGTATAGGGACTATGCAAGAAGGGTCCATAAGGATGACTAGAATTGGGATCAACATGTTTTCAAGTTCTTGGACAGCACCCCCCAGGATCCGCCAGTGCAGCTCGACACTGCCAATCGCTGGAGCACACTCGGGCAAATAGCGCGTGATGTCAGCTATCTGGATGCATGGGCTGATGACGCCATGAGGGAAGCCTCCGACAAAGTGCCTGCAGGGTATCAGGTTGTCGGGAAGGCCAGTGACAAAAACGAAAGGGAGTTGTTTGTGCACATTCAAAATGATTCGTCGGCCGACGGTCAAGCGTCGTTGGCTGAAAAGGCCAGTGACAGGTTCATAGCCCCTCACTCTCCTGGCTGTTGAAGAATGCAGAAGGGCAGTGCGTTCTCACTTTTGCTGGGACAGGGCGCGTTGTGGATGCACATGGAAAAGAGGGTCGCCATGGCTCCGCCCAAGGAATGGCCAACGGCGTCGATCGTGTTGCAAAATTTCAACTTCGGACGAATGTTTTCCTGCAATTCACGGGACTCAACAAGGCGCAGGAGGTGGTACTTGAAACCCATTGGGGTTTCAAGTACCACCTCCTGCGCCTTGTCGAGTCCCGTGAATTCCAGGAAAACATTCGTCATGGCGACCCTATTTTCCATGTGCATCCACAACGCGCCCAAGCAGGGCGAAGCGGGCTTTCGGGACTATGCTTACATGGGCTTTGCTTGAGGTCCTAAGACGCCTGATGCAAGTTTGTACAGCTCCCTGGCGCTTTCTGCCATCAGACACTCTCACCCGAAGGGATCTAACTGAAGCTATCCGGAAACGGCTTCTCTACATTATTTGCACCTGGATTGTCGCTGTAATAGGTTGAAGCGCCGCAGAGGTCTTGCATCATTTGCACCGCGAGTGGTCGCTTTAATGAGTTGAAGAGCCGTGCGGGTCCTGCACGCTCAGAGCCGGGGTGCAGGTTTGACAGAATTGTGAACAGATATTGGAATGTAGCTGGTGGCATGTATGCACAACTTGCAATTGTTAGTGCCGGTCATAGTGAACTGGGCCAGTTACAGTTTATGCTGCTTGTGTGGGGTCCCCGGCTCAAAGAGGCCCCTATACAACGTAAGTATAATAGGGACCCTGCAGTTGATCACCCCATGTCTCGCCAAAGGAGCGGGACCTTTTTGACCCGGACATTCGCTGCATTAGGCTGACGAGCCGCAGAGTTCTTGCATCAGTGGATCCTGGCGGACAGTCGAATTGTAATAGGTTGAAGAGCCGCTTGCAGGAAAAGCGGAAGTGCGTGCTGCTTGAGCTTGAGCCCATTGCGTTCCTTGTGCGATTAACGTGCGATTTCTTGCAGTACCACAACAGATGGAAAGAAAGGAGGTTCGGAGGTTCGCTGG